TGTAACCCTTCAAAAGCAACTTGATCATTTGATCATTTTTCACACACATACCAAGAACATAGAAAGCAAAATATACATGTTAAAAAAATACATCTCAGGTTAAACAAATTTTTGTGCGCAGTCACGCGACTTTTTTCTATTCTAAATTCAATTGAAGTCACATGTTTCACAACATAAAAAAGATCAACGATCGATTTTGTCACATGTGATAAAACGAGCATAATGGACACTGTAAAATAAGCTATTTCATTGGCCAAATTTTGTCGATCTTATTTCAAATCATCACACAAAACTAATTTTTTGATTGGTTTGAAATTTTTTATCACATTTCTAAAAAATAAAAAAATCCCGAATAATTTGGATATTTTCAACCCACTTAGAATTTATTTTCATGACGACATTCATGATCAATACATATTTTTCTTCGTGTGAAAAGGTACAAGGTACAATATAATTATTATTTGTGATAGTATTATTACCCATTAGTTGATATTGATGTTGATTTTTTTGATGATCACATAACAATAATTAATCATTTAACTGTAGACTGAATAACCATTATCTTGACAAATCAGCCATTGAATATGCAAGTTAACATGGAAAAGAATATGTTCGCCTAAATATTAAAATGATGTTTCAATTAATTTAGTTTTCTCTTTAATGTTTGTTTTTGAAAATTTATCTAAAAATTAAAGTAATAAAATGATAAAATGATAAAATGATAAAATGATAATAAACAATACCCAATAACCATTATCTCGACAAATCAACCATTGAATATGCAAGTTAACATGGAAAAGAATATGTTCGCCTAAATATTAAAATGATGTTTCAATTAATTAGTTTTCTCTTTAATGTTTGTTTTTGAAAATTTATCTAAAAATTAAAGTAATAAAATGATAAAATGATAAAATGATAATAAACAATACCCAATAACCATTATCTCGACAAATCAACCATTGAATATGCAAGTTAACATGGAAAAGAATATGTTCACCTAAATATTAAAATGATGTTTCAATTAATTAAGTTTTCTTGCTTTCAAAACCCATTTAAAAAAATTAAAAATAATAAAATAATATCACCAAGTTAATAAATTTGTTTGACTACCTACTTTAATTGGAAAACTTGAAGGCAAAATATTTCCTTGCATTTACTGAAAATATGTTTCTGAAAATAAGACTAAAATTATTTTAATTCAAATAAAACGTTTGCATATGTGTAGTCTTTATTTCAAAATTTAGTTCTCATCTAACTTTTGATCTAGAGATGATCTTTTGATCTTATTTAACCCACTAGTAAAGACAAATATAAAGAATGTTTCTGTGCAAAAAAAGTAATATCTACCTTAATGATAATTTTTTGTATACGCGTACTCCTTTTTCTATTTTAAAACAATTGAAATCACATGTTTCACAACATAAAAAAGATCAACAGTCGATTTTGTCACAAAGTGATAAAATGAGTGTCCATTATGCTTTTTATTGATGGATTGGGTGCGTGTTATCCTTATTTAGAAATTGATATGGCGATTTGCGGATGATTTTTGCGGAAAAATACATGATTATTCAAAAGATGCTATAGAGGAATACAAAATACTAAAAAAAATTAATAGTGAAGGATTGAATAATTAAACTAGATTTCTCTAAATACACGTTCAATTGTAAAAATATACAAAATTTTGTTTTTATCTGTTATATCTGTTATGATCTACAGCGCCCAGATCAAGTACTTTAGAACTTGTTGTGTTGTTGAACGAAAAAAAAATTAACCATGGGATATTATTATAAACCTCATAAAGGTTACTACAGTGGGCATCAATGGATTGATCGGTCAATATGTTTACTTGTCATAAAAATTGACGAAATAATAAACTTGAAATAAATCTTTAGTTTGAGTTGTTGTTTTTATAAATTTACAACAAAAATTTGTGCATAATATATAACGAGTGCATGTGTGAACTCTGGGATTAAATTTTTGTGTATGGAATAATGCTGCGTCATTTTAACAAATTTTGGAGATTTTGATGTAAAAATTGTGCAATAGTTGGATTTTGGTCAATGTCATTATTTGATTATTCCAGTTTTATTAATAATTTTGACAAAAAACATCGGAAAGAAGATTTTTTAAACATTTTATTTTGTCATCAACAGCATATAAAGTAGTTGATCTTAATGATAAAGTCTTTAAATTTTCAAGTGTTGGTAATAATATATGATCTATATTATTTCCTCATTACTTGAATAACAAATTGTTGGCTGTGTACAGTGTGTTAAGAAAAAAACAGCGGTGACAAAAAATTGCAATTACATAACATAAATAAATTTGGATCCGTTTGAAAGTTTATCAAATTACTTTGTTAAATAAAAAAAACAGACATGAAATGCTATTGCCAATTTTCTGTAAGACTAATTTGTATATTTATTTTAAAACTGTTAAATTTTTGTCTCTGAAATTTTAACATGAAATTTTTAATAATAGCTCTGACACAAAACTTTCATACTTCCAGATTTTCTATAATTTTGTCAATTGGAAATAAAAGGAATTTGATTATTTTGGAAAAAACAATTCAATGCGTAAATTTCTTTAATAATTGCTCTAAAGTCTACATAACAATATGCTTCAAAAATTTATATGTTATAATCCAAGATCCTCCGTTTCTCTGGTATAATTTTTATTATAAAACAATATTTTACAAACCGCCGTTTTTTTCTTAACACACTGTATGTGTGAGTACTGCATTTTTGAAATAATCTGAAAAAGCATGGTATAAATCAATAATTTGTTGCTTTATTTGATTTTGTGCCTTGATTAGTTGAGCCAGACTATATTCAATTCACCATCAAATACATTTGAAAATATTCACTATTACCAGTAAATCTACATTAAGATTCTGAAAACTATTATCAAATCTATTTACCCAATAACAATCCATGTCGCCAGCACTAAGTTCTCTAATGACTGCTAAGTGGTCTAGAATAAATTTCATTAATCTGCTTGTAAAATGTCCAATCCAGAAGTTTTTGAAAGTAACAACTATGATAAAATAAAGTCCAGCGTAAAATCCTTATCTTCTTCCAAATAAACAATTGATTATTATATGTTGGTGCTTTCTTTAGAATAAAATGAAACTCTCTCCATAAAATTGGAATATTATTATAATATTGTGCCATTGTTTATTGATAAGAATGAAAGAATATGATGTTTTATAATCATCCTCTTGTATTTAATAAATATTTTAATTTTAAATATTGGTGACTTGTTGCTAATTTATTGATCAATAATGACTTTACCATTTGAGTTTTTAATTAATAATATGTTTATTGAGAAGGGCGTATGCCAAATGAAACAAAACATGCAATAAATAATAAGACTGAGATGCAATACCATATTACGTTAGGCTGAGTTTTCACTAATACAGAGTATAAAAAATCAAATAGTGGTGGAACAATTATACGAAGAATTGAATCTACTACACTTATTCCGCCTAAGAATTGACCAATTTGAGATGGAGATATTAGATTTGTCTGCAACGATTTTATTGCAGGGGTAGTTATTATACCCAAAGAAGCTATCACTGTTACTGTAATAAATTGAAGTGAGAAAAGGGGATGATGAATTAGAAAGATGAGGCAGATGGCAAATCGCAAGTACAGATAAAAAAAGTAAATTTGTTTCAAGTTACCAGCATTAAATACTGCACCGGACTTTGCTAGGCCATATGCAACATGAGATAGAGCGTCAATAAAAAATATCAGTCTGATTAATTGGACTTCTGATATTAACTCATTTTTCATCAGTTTCTCGTCATCTTTATCATTCACATTATCTGCGAAAATCTCGACATCCATACCATTGTCATCTTCAATAACTATTTGCTCTTCTGTACTGTTATTCATTGTATTTTTTGAAGGAGTTATTAATGCAAGGGCTTTTGCCTTGAATTTTGATGTTAATCCAAGTATTGGTTCTTTGAATTTTACTATTAGTGGATACAAAACAAATAAAACAAATACTTTCGTTCCGCTCATTAAGAATACAAAATAACCCTGTTCTAGTAACGACCAGTTAAATACTAATGATGTATATAATATATATACAGTTGTCATAGCCATAATCGAAGATGACAATAATGAGTATACTATTCCTAATAGCGAGAATGAATATCTTGAAGCAGCGATAGGAACTTTATCATTATCATTATCTTGTTGTTGTCGTCCATTTGGAAAAAATAATAGCAATGGTCTAAACATAACATAGACCCATCTGAGAAAAGAATCAATCAATTTAATTCCCGTCCAGTTTATTGCAAATAACTCTTGTTGACGTTTCACATTCAATGATAATTTTTCCTTTGTTAAAGATTCAGGTAATATAAAAAGGTAAAATAAAAGCAACATAATATATACTGTCAAAGTTACATAGTATACTGAAAGTAAATTATGTGTTGCATTCACCAACAATCCTCCTAATGTTGGTCCCACCATATATCCTGCAAACATTGCCCCTTGTATCCATCCAAAGATCACATTCCTATTAACATTAACATTTGGAGAATGGGTACGAGAGAAATAAATAATTAGGAATAGATGTTAGAGAATGTGTTGTTAGCACAGCAAACAACACAAAAATTACCTTCGTGTGGGATGAGTAGAATCTGTTGCATATGCATAGCTTGCTTCTGATAATGCATAAAATCCA